CTCAAAATCATCATAGCCCACCATCTAGGTAAATTATGAATGCTCCCCAAGTTCATGATAAGTTCGACGTCTGGCCCAGTTAAGTTTGTGTGAATGAAGTTGGATCGTCCAACACGTTCTAGATAGAACGTCTGAACATCGTCTCCGGGACAAACGTCGATCTTCACATGCGACGAACTAAACTAATACATCAAAGACGTCTGCCCCAACGGACGACTCTAACTTAATTTAAGCAAATTTAGATCGACCCAAATTAGAGTTTGGTTCGTCTTATGAAAAGTTCGACGTTTAGCCTGCCTCAGAGGCGCTTATTGCAATTTTCTCGCCTGCCGAGCACATATAAAGACGCTTGGAAGAGACTACAGTTTGTCAAATTTAACTTTCCCTTAACGGTGAATTTTTGTAGGTGCGTAGATCATAGCCTTCTCGCTTCCATAATTTCTACGCGTTTAGACGTGACAAAAAGAAACGAAATAAAGAAAATACGACAACCTACTTTTTACTGTCGTTGGATGTAGCTTACGTTTTTGCACGTCGCCTCTAATGTCTCTTCAATGAGAAACTGTTAGGAAAGCTAAGGAATTTCCTTAAGGTAAAGATAGCTTTATTATAAAGTCTTGAATTGTGTGCACTGCCCGTTCAGAGCCTTTTTTTGCGAGTAGTGGCATTGTAGATATGTCGGTAAATGTTGCTAATCAATGTAATTCGAGAATTTCAGAGACGTGTACTATAAAAGGACTTTGGTGCACTCCTTAATGAACATAAGTTCATAGAAGAAATTTTTATTACACATGACTGGCTCCTAAAGAAGCTGAGAACCTGGCCAATATCCAATTGGGTGTGTTCTATCGAATTTCACTATGGGTATTTCTTGGTTTCCGAATAGCGCGCGAAGATGAAGCGATAACGACCCGGATACAATCCTACGGTGCAGTTTAATGGACGCACATGCCTATTGGTTAGACGATGACGAGGTTAAAACATTTTCTAGACCAATAGTTAGATCGGCACAATTCGGGTTTAGAGTGACAAATCTTTTGATATTTTATGTTGGTTTTGCACCGGTTAGTGATGAATTGCTGGTTTACACGTGATGTCATGGCAGCCATATTGGTGGTGAAGAACCAAAGCATTTCTCTCCTTTTGGAACTGAACTCCATTTTCATGTAAATTATTTGAATTAATTTTTATTGTATCAGAACCACCAACATGACCTGCTTGTCACGTGGCTGCAAACCAAGAATACGCCACTTCCACATTTCCCGTAATGCACCTTATGTGCCCCCCAAAAGTTTGCACAAGCATTGCTTTCAATTTCTCTTGGGACGGCTGTAATACCCAGGAGAAATGAAAAACAAAGGGTATGCAAAATTTGGGGGGGGGGGGGGGG